GTAAAGATATACTTTATTACCTCCAACAATATTTAATTTTTTAAAGTATACTAATTCGATATATAATATTTTAAATACTGTAAATTTTGCTTTCATTTAAGTTTTATAATTCCATATGGCCTGGGTATTATGCATATCGAAATTCACAGAGTGGAAAGTGAAGCTCAGAAAACCCCTAATTGCCTAAGAATATGTATGCACATGATTTCCCTGGAGAGAGAATCCTCATTAAAATCCTGTGCACCACACTATATCATGGATACCTGCATTTTTAGGGATAGATGTAAAGAAACCTTCTGATCTTTTACCTTCATGCCTTACAAATAGAAGCAATACAAGGCAGTGAATACACTTCTGATTTAGCATCTCAATTTCTCTGCTTCCCTGATATTTGCCTAAATAGGTCTTACTTTACTTCATTCTTACTTCTTTTCCTCTACATTTCTTTGAGATATAATTTTATTATCATTATTGAGTGGCATCTCCAGCTCCATAGGAAATGCAGCGAAGTCATTCAATTTTGAAAAATGAAGAATGTTTGTAAATTATTCATATAATTATGGACAAGCCATTTTCTTGTTATGTATCTGTTATGGTTTACATCAACAATGTTCTCCAAGTGGTACATGGAATCAGGCTGGGCTCCTGGATGGAGCGAGGGGCTCAGCAGGCACAGGCCTATGAGTAGCAAGCTGCTTCCATAACTTTCCCAGGCCTTCTGCACCCTGGCCACCATGACCCTAGCAGCTTTGCTCCACCTGGTCTTCTATACAGTCTGTCATTAGATTAGATTGTACACTGAGACAACTGGAAATTGATGGGCCAGGGAGATGACTCAGTAGAATAAGCACTTGCCTGGCAAGCGCAAGGGCCTGAGTTCAATCCCCAGTTCTGAAAAAAAAAGATGCAATTGGAAATTGATAGAAAATAAATATTTTCTTCTGTTAATTTTCCTTGTCATCCACCAGAAAAGAAACTTAAATCACTTCAGTGGACTTGACAAAGCACTACAATATTCAGTATTCTCTGAGAAAACTCAGGGTTTTACTATGAAAATTGTTTTTTTCTTAACATTGAAACTTGATTTATGCTCAAATCAAGCTGCAAATAAACCTTATTGTAGCATTTATAAGTTAATTTTGAGACCTAGAATTACAATTATTCTATGTTTGCAAATTTCATTGCCACATACATGTAGGAGGCAAAATCTTTGACATTTCCAATATATATATATATATTTCTTAAAACTTGTATCTCCATAGTGAGACACTGTAGACCCTGTACACCCTGTATTAAATACAGAAAGAAAAAAAAACTTTTATCTCCACAGTGAAAATATTCAGCATGGTCTGGGCAAACCAGACCTTCAACTCTGACTTCATCCTGCTGGGAATCTTCGACCACAGCCCCACGCACACCTTCCTCTTCTCGCTGGTCCTGGCCGTCTTCACTGTGGCCTGCGTGGGGAACTCGGCCATGGTCCTGCTCATCTACCGGGACGCCCAGCTGCACACGCCCATGTACTTCCTCCTCAGCCAGCTCTCCCTCATGGACCTCG